TGAGTAAGGAAGGGTAAGTCAATTGTTGTTGGTAAGCCTCTGGTTATAAACACTCTTAAAGATGTACTGGTAAAGAGTCCTTTATGTGCCCTTTATTTTTAACAAAGTATTTATTGTCTTTTCTGTTTTTTTTTTTTAATTTATGTTAAAATTTGGTTCACTTTTAATAGTACATGACATCTCAAATGTTTAGACATTTAGTTGATTGTAAAACACTAACTAAAATGAATCTTCTCTTGAAACAGCATTGCCAGATTTTAAAAAATGAATAGAAATTATATTCTTTTTCTGTTTTTTAAACTATTTTTACATTCTGAGTTTCTGGAAATTGAGGTGCACCTGCATATAGAAACCTTTGCACTTAATGTAATTTCTAGTTCACATTCTATACTTGTCTCTTCTCATTATAGCAACTACCCTTAAAATCTAATTTCCTTGGCTTTATTCAGTCCTATTGGAACAGGCACTGCATTTTAAGAGAATTATTTCCCCAGCAATGTTCTTTTTTTTTTTTTCCAGTCTTAGAACTATGGAGGGAGGAAGTTGAGGCTGTCATTCAACTTCCTGAATTACATGAGATGCGGAAAGGACTCTGTTCAAGATAAATCCTCTACCATGGGTCTTTCAAGGCTGCTTTGAAGTGGGCTTTTCTACACTGAATAGTAGAGTGTGGAATTTTAGGCACTATAGGCCAAATACATGTGGCATATAATGGGCCACACATATTGGAATACAGCTTAACTCTGAACGTACACATCATGGGCTCTGAAAGGTTTAGAACACATGTTGGTTTAAAAAATACGCAGATTTTATCTCAAAGTCAAATTAGCTATGCCTTTCCTCCTCTTTTATTGAGGGAACAAAAGTAATACTATTTCTTATGTAAAAAAGAAAAGAAGACTTAAAATGTGGACTATAGCGGATGCTGTGGTGTGCTGCCTGGACCTTTCCGGTTGTTGGGAGTGTTGGTGGCTGACAGTTCTCATTCATTTTGTTACTTTCAGGGGTCAGCCATAGGGAACCAAGTACACCAAGGAAAAAACCTCAGTCAAGGTATAAAAGATATAAAAGGCCCATGCCCTTGGCTCAAGTCAAGACAACTCCGAAGATCCATCCCATAGCTAGAGCTCGCCTTGAGATCCGTGGGGGCCATGTCTGCACTTTGGTTCAACTCCTCCCTCTGCCCAACACTGATTCCTCCACTCTCTTGCAGATGTTGATCCTGAGAGATCTCCCCAGCAAACTTTCTGCACACAAGTCTTCTTCTCAGAGTTTGCTTCCTAGTAACCCAATCTAAGGCATTCATCTTACCATTTTTTCTAAGACTTCCATTATCACAATTATTTTCTGAATGGTCTCAGACCTCAGACAAGTCCAGCTCAGAGCTGAAGCTTCCCTCTACTCTTCACCCCACCCTAAATATTTGACTACAAAGATGGAGATAAAAATTCCCTCATAATTTCAGCAGAACTGTGGTTCAGAGCTTCAAACATGTATTTGTTGTCATGCATGGGATACAATACATTGCTAGGCAGGCGATTTTGTCATTGTGTGGACATCATAGAAACAAAGATGGTACAGCCTACTACACACCTAGGCTATTTGGCAGAGCAGAGCCTATTACTGTTAGGCTACAAACCCGTAGTGTGTTTTACTGTACTGAATATAGCACTGCAGGCAATTGTAACACAATGGTAAGTATTTACATAGAAACATAGAAACATTTCTATATAAACATAGGAAAAGTAGAGTAAAAATGCAGTATAAAAAGTAAAAAATGGTACACCTGCATAGGACACTTACCATGAATGGAGCCTGTAGGACTGGAAATTATTCTGGGTGAGTGGTAAGTGAACGTGAAGGCCTAGGGCATTACTGCATGCTACTGTAGACTTTATAATCACTATAAACTTAGGCTACAAAACATGTTTAAAGAATAAGTGATCACGCTATTACATTGTAACAGCTATGACATCACTAGGTGATAGGAATTTTTTAGCTCCATTTTAATCTCATAAGATCACTTATGCACGATCTGTCATTGACTGAAATGTTGTTACGTAGCACATGACTGTACACGGGTTTTGTTTTCTTCTACAGTGTCAGAGTTTAGTCTGTAAAGTTTCCTCACAAAATTGCCTTGTGAGATATTTATTTTTTGCATTAATACTCATTCCATCTGAAAATTACTACCATATATGGGATAAGATGAGGGTCAATTTTTAAATTTTCTTCCAGTTGGAGAGCCAGTTGTTCCAGCATCATTAATTTAAAACCAAACAAGCAAATAAACAAAATCTCATATGCTTTTCTTACTTCATGAAACCAACAATCATATTATCTCACACACTGAAATCCATTTTCTCTATTGTGTCGTATTAAATATTCTTCATAGTATTTTCTGATAGCTGCTTCCTATAGAAAATATTCTTACTTATTTCTTTGTATGATTTCTATGATTATCACCAGGTAATTATTATTTCAAATGAACTTTAATATTATTTTATACAAGTCCATAAAACCAAAACCAAAGCCAAAAACAGCTCAAAACTCCATTGGCATTCTAATTGGAAATGCATTAAATGTGCATATTAATTTTGGGAGGCTTTTAAAAATTGACAATAACAATATGTTTACGGGGTTTTGTGATGTGCCTTTTTGATCAATATGTGATGTTTTGATCAAAACATACATTGTGGATTGATTAATGCAAGCTAATTAACATATGCACCCCTTCACATACCATTTCTTTGTGGTGAGAATATTTAAAATCTACTCTCTTAGTAATCTGGAAGTATATATTACTGTTAACTGTAGACACCATGCTGTGGAACAGGTCACTAAAACTCATTCCTTCTATCTAACTGAAATTTTGCATTCTTGGACCAACACCTTGGGAGATTAAAAATATATACAGAAAGACTTCCCACCCAAGAACATGTCTGACTCCTCATTGGTTTCTTTTTATTAGGATTTAATACCTGCTTTATATAGGTTGTGTGTTCGGGTTTTTAAAGTTTAGTCCTACAGTTTATAGTTTTGGTCATGTGAAATTTTTTTTATTTCTAGGTGCTTAGTGCCAGAGAAGATAAAAGCTACTTATTTTTTATATATTTATCTTCTATCTAGCTATCTTACAAAGTTTATTAATACAGTGCTTTTTTTCCCTTGAATCTCTTGGGTTTTCTACATACACAATCATAGTATCAGCAAATACATAGTTTTATCTGTTAGTTTCCAGTATTTATAGCAGGCATATCTCTTACATTGTTCATTGGCTAAAACCTTTAAAGCAATTCTTTTTAAAAAGGAAATGATGATAACAGGCATTTCTTTCTAATTTCTGATTATGATGAAATTTGTTAACATTTTTCACTTAGGATATCAAAAGTTGTTGTTTTGATGTAAACAGTCTTTATTATCATTAAGGTGTTTTCTTCTAAATTTTTTCCCTTCAACTCATTTTCTAAAACTGAGTGCTGAATTCCATCATGTACTTTTCGTGACTACTAATTTGATTTCCTATTTTTTTTTCTTTAATGTGTGCATAGGATTATACGGGCAGATTTCCTATGTTGTGCCACTGTTGCTTCTGTGTGTGTGTATTTCCTTGATAATCTCATAAATTCCTACAGAAATGTTTACCAAAATGTGTCAAATGTTAATAGGGATAACTTAATAAAAGAGTTCCATGATCAAATTAATTTAAGAAGCACCAGACCAAAGTTAAATGGCCCTTCCCCAATACTTTAAAGCTAATGGCATTGTTAATCTTCAAGAGGAGATTAAAGGCTGGGCATGGTGTCTCACGCTTGTAATCCTAGCACTTTGGGAGGCTGAGGCAGGTGCATCACTTGAGGTCAGGAGTGCCAGACCAGCCTGGACAAGATGGCGAAACTCTGCCTCTACCACAAATACATAAAATTACTGGGTGTGGTGGTGCGCGCCTGTGGTCCCAGCTACTCCAGAGGCCCAGAATCAGTTGAACCTGGGAGGTAGAGGTTGCAGTGAGCTGAGATCGCAATACTTTTCCAGCCTAGATGACAGAGCAAGACTCTATCTCAAAAAAAAAAAAAAAAAAAAAAAAAAAAG